GGATTGTGGAGATCGCTGCAGAGAGAGTTTTCTGAAAAAAGGGCCAAAAATTCCAAACAGCTCACACAACTACAGCTTGCAATCTGCATGACAGAAACAGGCAAGCATGCAGAAACATTAGGAGGCAAAGCATGAGAGTCAACCACAGAGCAAGCACAGTCCCAAGGAGACCGCGAGCAGAGGCTAATCAGAGCATGAGGCTGGGGTATGGAGGGCGGGGCCAAGGGCTGACCGTGGAGGTACTCTATGGGGTCCTGGCCGGAGACGAGCCAGTTTCGGAAGAGGCGGAGGTGGTAGGAGCACTGGTGGAGGTGGTGGGCCAGCGCCCGGTCCAGAGGAAGCTGGCAGCGGCCCAAACTGAGGTCAGTGGATAAACGCCTCAACAACTGGGCCACATGGTGTTCCTCCAAGGGCTCTGAGGAAGAAGAGGGAGAACGAGTGGACGAGGAGGAAGGAGGAAGGGGGAGCAGTACGAAAGACAAGAAACAAGAGGTTTGAAGCTTGGGAAGGGGGAGGAAAAAAAAGGTCTGAAGTATGACACAGAGAAGAGTGGAAGTAAGAGCTTGGAGAGAAAGGCAAGCGTACAAATACAGGAGGAAGGAGAAGTGTAGTGTGTCATGTATGTATCAGAGGGATGTGTTCTGAAGAAAAAGCAGCAACCAACAATTGATCTCAGCTGCCAACAGCCAACAAAAAGCAACAAATCATCRAGGAGTTTCCAGCAGTTAAGAAAAGCGTAAGGCCAGACAATAAAGTCCACACCACCCTGTTGCTCCTCTGCAGCCTCTCAGTGTTCCCATCAAACTGAGACTCAGAGACACCYAGAGAACAGTGAGAACAAACAAAGGAGCAAGTGGGACACACCACATTTAGAGGATACAGTGAAGCCCAAACTGAAGACACTTTCTGACTGCAGAAGCTGTTAAAACGTGCACATCAATCAGCATTAGCGGACATTCTGATGGCACCCTGTTAATACAACGCTGCCACTGAAAACGTTAATACCAACAGCAAACAGACACCTGGAGACTGTTGTACCTGCTGCAGTGCACCAGCGAGGTGGAGACACTGCTATGGTGGAAGTGTCATCTTGTGTTCCTGTGGTGAATCATATACAAACAGCAAAACAATAAAAAAATAAAAAAACTGAAGACTTCAATGAATGTAGTTTTAAACACGTTCTCTGGTTTTCTACTTGGGCTCATACAAAACAATTCCTTAGACAAAGCAACCTTTGGTTACTGAACCAAAATAAAAAACTCAAAAGCACAACTACTTGCCTGTTTGAACCATCTCAACTAGTCCTACGTTTTCCCAGATGAGGCAAAGCTGGTTGACCATAAATGTGAGCGCAGTTCACAGAAAAACACCTCACTCCTACGCTCTTATCTTACTGTTTAGACACCCTGCTCCATCCAGTCATCAGCACAGCAACATCATTAAAACAGCAAGGCAGAGGTGCTGGTTTACACCTCTGTATTATTAGATCCATTTGTATATTTTTCCCTTTTGAGCAATCACAAGAGAGCACTGGTAACACTGGAAATCATGTGTGCAAGCATGAACAAAATCAAAAAGTGAACAATGTTGGGAGTCAGAAAAAAATATAGCAGATGAGATGAAGTTTAACCCTTCCCCTGTTTGATTTAAAAGAGCTGATTCAGGTTCAATCAGAGACTCCTTTCAAACAAACTCAATTTWGCATCATTTAATCCTGGGTGATTAGGAAAAAATACAGTAAATGTTACATCAGTGATACAAAAGTGAGTTGACAGGAGAGGGGTTAAATTCTGATATGCTGTCAGAGCTGAATTAAGTGTGTGAAATCATGACAAGTGTGTGTTTCATGTAGTTACTGTTTACACATACACACACCTACCTACCTAGTTCAGCATATGCTTGATGTTAAACAGGGTTCCCACCCACACTTCCCAGTTAAAGTAGTCCCAACATTCAAGAATGAGGGGGGCTTTATCTCTCTGTGATGTGGTGTTTATAATTTTTATAAACCAGTTATCAGTTTTTCCACATTTCTTTTAAACAGTTATTTTGGGAAAGAATAGTGTTTTTTTTTTTACTCAAAAGAATACAATAAGAATTTAATACCTCTAAATATAAAGTGAGGCATGTACAATGGATTGTAGAAAATACAAAAGAATTATTCTCAGTTGTTACTTTTTGGAATTAATAATGTGAATAAATGGTCTCTTTATTCATTCACAACAAAACTTGTTCCTATAAAGACACTCTCTCTCTCCTAAATGCCAACTGTTCTGCAGCTAAACACCAAAGTACAGCTTTTATCTGTCTGCATCTGTCCTGCATCTGTCATGTTTCATCATCTCCAATGCCTCTCCACAAGCTAAACGCACAGGTTTATGTTTTACTTTAACAAAATACCAGCTTGTCTACTTTCTGCAAAATGCATTACACTGCATCCACTATTCTTTTCTGTTCTGGTGTCACTGGAACACCTGACAGTCACTTTCTTTTCTTGTGCTGATACAAGAGCCTCATGTTGCATTCACTGACCCTGATCTTGGCAATGGAAATGGATTACGCTCAGCTTTAATCACAGAAATGCAATTCTTTGCTGATATTTCGCCCCCAGAGTCATTTTTTGGGTAGAAATTGTGTGGCGGCTCAGATAAAAGGGGTCTAAAGGCCATTTATAAATATATATATACAGTATATATA